CAATATAATGAATCTGAGATGTGTAATATATTTGATATAAAACCACGTGAGAATAAAGGCCTGAAGAAAGTTTGCAAGAACACATCTGGCTTGGAAGACGTTTGATTCCCAGCTTGGCCCTAAGAATTTTCAGTAAATCTGAGAGTCAGCTGCCCTCGAGCCCATGGGTCCTTTCCCAAAAAGGTCACTGACAGCAGCCACTAAAATCTCCATTTTTTTATATTAATCAGTGCAATGAAACACTGCTGCCGGTGTGTGAATTTAGCAATGACTCACAAAGGAGGATCTTACCCCCACCTATACAGTGGCATGATCATACTGGTATTTTACGATTTACAATGTCCATTTGGATCTTAGGGTTTCAGAGATTCTGAACAATCCAAACAAAATCAGGGGAAACTGGGTTTGCTGATCACTGCTGAAAATCTGCATCTTGAAACCAGACCTAGGGAGCCAGCCTTTTGGTTCACAGTACAGGGCTGGATTTGGAGCTGTATTAGCCACAATTTTGTGTTGGCAAAATAGGACAGCATAGAAGTGCTGTCAAAATTCTACTGGGTCAATATTTTAAGAGCACACTTAATTTCATCAAGGGACCACGTAACAGTAAACCTATTAGCAGGAGACACTTAGTGCATTGCATTGTATTCCAAACAGGAAACCAGTAATCTAATACACATCTAATAAAAAAAGGAAGRCAGATGCCTCTGAGTAATTTATCAGGTAAGCTGCAGATCATTTTGTTAGGAAGGAAAGCATATAGATTATGATCTTTTTCTATAATATGCACACAGGATTATTTATATAAGTCTTTATGCATTTTTGGTATATCGCATAGGAAGATTTCTTTTTTTCCAACTTTTTTCTTCTAAAAATCTACCCACTTGTGATTTTTTCCTCAGCAAAACTCTTAATATTCACAAATGCTCATTTGAATAAAAAGACTGAGGGATCCTTGGGGAAAAACGGGCCTAAGGAGAACAATGGGGCTGAGCACAGGCTCCCCTCCCTCAGGGAGGATGGAGTCCTCAAGGTCTTTGCATTCCAATAGCCCAAGGTTTTGGAGGCCTTGCTGCTGCCTCTGAGTCTGCAACAGGGGTTTTTCTCATTGTTGCCACCCTATTCTTCTTGCCTKGCTCTATCCATCTGTTTTCCCTTGTCTTGTGTTTAAATCATGGAGTTTTTTGACAGCAGCTTGTTGCTCCATCCTGGGCGTGTGTTGCGCCGTGGAGTCACGGCCTGCAGGCTCCGGGGCCTGACAGCAGTGCAAAGGAAGGGATGACTCTGGCATTTCCACAGCGCTGCACTCACTGCTCTTCCACAAAGGATCAGTGTGATACCAGCGGCTGCACACTCACCAGGAGATGGAGGACAGAGCAGACTTCAGCCTGAAGTCGAGTTTAGGACTGCAGAAACAAAGCAGACCATCTTCCTGACCTTYTCCATCCCCCCTTCCCTGAGACTCCCAAACCGAAGTTTCAGCTTTGCCTGCACAGTGTGAGAAAAGCTCAGGAAGAGCTTCCTGGCACAGCACATTGGTGCAAGACTCTGCTTCTTGCAAATTCATGTGGCTTCCTAAAACAAGGGGTTCCTTACACATTTTTTCTGATGATTTAGCGTGGGATATATATCTCATAACTGAGACAATGAGGTTATGCACACCGGCACGGAGAGTTGCCGAGCAGAAATGATGTGCTCTTAGTAAGGTCACAGCCACATCTCCTAAAAGGGGTTGCTGCCTCTCTAAGAAGAGCCTTGGTATCAGTGTCCCCAAAGGAATCACAAACCGGGGTGAGAGGGTYACCCTGCTGCTAGGTGGGAACAGACAAAAGTGCTGTTTATCACTGAAGGGACAGGCTGTGACAAAGTCCCTGTTGTCACAGCAGGGACAGCAGAGGCCGATGCAGGTTGTGTCCCTGCCAGCCAGGGACATAGCTGAAAATCTCAGTTCTCTTCTTGCTGCGGAGGAGCAGGAAACTTTGGCCAAGTCACAAGCTCAGACCGGCAGCCTCCGCTCTTCAGGAAGAGACCTCAGCTCTTTCTCCTTCACAGAGACATSTAATGTAATGAAATCTCCTAAGCCTGTATTGATTTATCTCTGCTCCTCCTTTTATTGATTGCCTAGAGGAGCGCACTGTGCTAAGGAGGTAAAATTCTCATTTTACAAACTGAGGACGGAGGCAGGAAAAAGGTCAGCGGTAACTAAGGCAAGAGTCCTTTTTTCCATAAATCTCAGGCTTGGGGCAGGCTGGGATCCCCCTGTCAGCTCAGCTCACCACTCCACATGGGAGCCTGCCCAGGGATGCCAAACAGGAGGCCACTAAGTGTCTCAGGAGCTTAGCAGCAGCACTACTGCTGGCAGAAGTGGAGATGCTCGGTGAATTTCTAAGCCCTCAGAACTACACCAACAAGGGCCATATATTCCCCCACACCAAATGTTCTATATTATAAGGACCTATTTCTAAGGTAATATATTTCACAAAAAAAAAAAAAAAAAAGGAAATATTGCTATACTGTCAAGTTAATGTTATGTTGTGCTTTCTGATACTTTGCCTATTCTGCACAGTGGGGAGGAATTCAATATTCTAGTGGGTGTGGGGTGAGCGCTGCTGAATTGTTTCAATTAAAACAGAGCACGTTTCTCTACAGAAACTGCAGGGTTTGGCTCTCAGATGCAGATCTCACTAGGCTTCTGGGGGTTCCTACTTCATCTGGTCTATTCTGTCTCTTCTCTCTCACCATATTGGTTATCAGATTGACTCCCCTCCCTACTAATAATATTAACAAGAGATGAACAACAGATAAGCCCAGCTTCTGGCAGTATCTCTGAGAGAAGCCTAATCAGGACAGAAATTGGAAGAGCTTGTAAAGAAAGGAAGTTGTTTAGTTTAGTTTCCTACAAAAGGGTTTAGTGTGTCTGCTTGTTTCTTTCCAATAGATAATCAGGGTCACTCACAACATTAAACAGAGTGCAATAATTACGTTATCCAGTGGTGCTTCCCTCGGGTAGCTACAGAATAATGTACTCTTTGTCAYCCAGCAGAGAGGGAGGCTTGCTGATGCTTTACAGATCCATATGCCTTATCCAAGAGATTTATCACTGTTGTCATCYGACTGTACTTATACTCTTACAGTGCCACATGGGGTCTATCTTTTGACAGGCACACAGAGACACTGTAAAGCACCCTTTAGAAGAGGGAGCTTTTCCGTCTTTGTGGGTTTGTTCTCTTTCACTTGAATAAGAACCTCAGACCTCACTTTACAAAGATTTATCACATTTTTTCCTGGCTCTAATGCTCAGAGAATTTAAACTGCAGGGCTGTGACTCATTTTTTTTTCCTTTTATAATATGCTTTTATATTTCTTGGCCATTCTGCAGTGTCATGAAGCTGTGGGGATGTCTGAAGGCTGTGTGGTTTAGGCTCACTTCCACAGAGGAGGACGACCTACCATTAAGTGTCTCAGCACTGTGGACTCTTCGTCGCACCCCACGCCTCAAGCAGGGCCTGCTTTCCAGCCTGCAGCTCTGCTGCCCCTGAGTAAGGCCTGCAACATCACAACCTCCTTCTCCTTCAGAGTCTGTAGAAATGTCCCTCCAACATTTAGCCTAAAAGATAAAGTTGATCTATAAAAGGCTAATGAAAAGATTTATATTCCTCATTCTGGGGAATAATCAGACTTGGTACAGACTCTTAATGCTTGTCTTGTTTTCCAGTGGGTGTTTAAGCAGGCTCTCTGGCAAGTTGTATAAGTAAAAATTAAGTCAGTGGCTAAAAAAGTTGACCATATGCCAACAGGAAGAGCAGGAGCTTGAGGAGTTCTTGATGACCTCACCCTGGAAACGGGGACCCACGGCCGTGGGGGATCTCTGACAACTGACACCTAAGGGCTCAAAAACAGTGACAGAGGAAACAGCACTACACTGCCTGAAAGAGGAGTCCACAAGAATGAACTTCAAGATTTTTGCAGCAATTGCTTAGAAAGAAGCAGAAAAAGAGTTAATAATAGAAATGGCCATGAGATTGTGTGGGAATGTTTTTCTTGGCAAGACTGCAGAGCCAGTTATTTTCCTTATCTGTAAATACTTTCTCAGACTGCATCAAACAAGTCCCTGGCCAGGGGTGGGAAGGGGATTCAGTGACTCAGCAGAAGACTATGTTGGTCCTGCCACAAAGGCCTTTCATGCTGAACTATCTGAGTGCCAGCTTTGTGAAACAGACAATTACTTCCTTCTAGATCACAAGAACATGAAGTTAATTACACAAGAAACTAACAGTGATGACACAGAATCAGTGTACATGTAAAGACTAATTGTTTCTTATCATTCCATAACAATTCAGATCTAAAAAGAAAATTAATAAAAGTTCCTTTTAACACAGAACTTTAAAATAGAATATTGGTTTAAGTCATTTTAGGGCAATACTGAAGCTTTGATGAACTTCAGCGTTCATCAAAACAGATGTTATGGTAAACGGCCTTCTCAGCATGATCCCATTTATGTGAGGGCCAATTACCCAGGGTGATACTAGAAATCAGCAGAAATTGGCACAGCGGTACCTCGTGGCACCCCTGACTTAACTGATTTTAATAGTTCCGTTTTTAAAAAAGTGTGAGTGGACTTCAAGGAARTGGAAATGGAGGATGGACGGAAAGGAAGCACCCACAGGGCATCACCAGGCTGCCACTAGCCAAGTATGGGAATTCACAAGTTTTGCCAGATTTCCTGCGAAAGTCGGGTGCTGCTAAGCCCCAAGCTTAGCCCAAGAAACCCAAGGAACATTTGTGCCTTCAGAGACGCAGGAAAAGCTCAAGCAGAATATAAAAGGGCCAGGGCTGGAATCCAGGAATCCCATATGTTAGTCTTTTGCCTAGTCGGTTCAAGAAACTAAGAAACCTTTTGCTTCCAGCTCACCCAGTGAGTGAGGCCGTTAACATCTACTCACCAAAGAAACTTACTTCTCAGCAGACACTTGGGGTTATGAATCTCATGATATTCTTACCTAGGGTCTCCCTGAAAGATGCTTTCCATCCCCTCGCTGCTCCAGAGAAGTCAGTCTTAAACACCAGGAACAAGTTATTGCTGGAGCTCTTGATATTTGGGGGCAGTTCTGCCCCACAGAATTTCCCAAGGAGGGGAGCCTGGGTGCTTGTGCCATCATATACAGCCACGTAATCCTTGTAGCACGAGGGAGACAACTCAAGCTGGAAGCTGTTGAACCTGCAAGAGCACACCTGGAGTGTTAGAGTGCAACACTTCATTTTTATGGATGTAAAATTATGTATGTTTTTAACGATGGAGTAAAGGTGTAAGTTATAGCCACAGCCAAGGCTGTACATAGATATCACRCTCCTGTTCAGGCAGACCAGCCAGCAAAGCTCCAGACTGCAAGGCAGAGCAGCATAACCAGCCTTGAAGGAAGGGGCCTCTCCCAAGACAAGCTGCCAGCCCCCGTCAGCTTGCTGTGAAAGGGAGACCCCCCTGTGCAAACACACCCTCCCTCGCTCGGCAAACTGCTAACGCTGCCACTTCCTCGGGCACGTGAGAGGAATGCGAAACGCAGGCTCAGCCTGCAGACCTGCTGGGCCTCCCATTCAGCTCAGGAAAATCGCCTTTGTTCACAATCACCATATGTCTGACAGGAGAATATATATATATAGAAAATATATAAATATAAAAATTATTACAAATATATATACATTTATATATACAAATAGTTATGCATAATTATATATATAATTTTTATATATGATTATTTATATAATACATATAAATCGTATATATTTTATTATATATATATATATAAATTTCTCAGTGACAACGTTCTGTGGCAGCCAGATCTCTCGTTTAGGTAGCACTGCACACATTCAGCAGTATAGCTGTCTTTTGGGTGGATATTATTACTAGGGCTGTAAAGCAAGTACCAGCTTTCTAACAGAATTTAATTTCTTTTTTTTCACATCAATTCACAAGAGCCTCAGAACCCCTCAAAGGCTGGCAGAATTTTACTAGGAGCATGAGCTGAATTTTTACAATTTCTTCRTCCTCCTTCTAATTCAAGTGGGAAGCTACAATTATGCTGACATTCTGCAAATAACAAGTAACTGAGAGTAAGATATAAAGAAGCCTTAGGTTGATATGAAAGGTTTCAGTGGTAATTTCCCTTTTTAATTCAGCTTTTCCCTTGGAAAAAGAAAGAGAGAAAATTATTAATTATTATTTTTGATTTGCATCAGAGTCCTCCCCGTCCCCTCGGCGACAGGCTGAACTTAGATTACATACTTGAGAGCGATGACTTTGTCATTTCCGACTGAGAGGTGGTAGGAGCAGTTCATGTTATTGTGATAATCTACAACTGAATGAGCTGGACTGCTGATAGTGCCGACGGAGCCATTGAAAATGCCACCGCACGCTGCAAGGGAAGCAGAAGGGAGAGCCATTAGAGTCTGAACAGCAGCTTTGCCCTAACTCTTTCATTTCTTGCATGAGACTCTGTTAGTCCTCTTTTAACCATGAGCAAAGAAAAACCCTTGGTAAATGAGGAGCGGAGCCTACAAAGGTTCATTGCAGAGGTCTCTACGAAGCTGGACTGTGCAAGGGAAGACCGGGTGTGAGCAGGGAAATGGAGGTTGCCTGGTCCGTACCAGACAGCCCTCAGTGTTTGTGCAGCAGAAGAGCCTCATTTGCACCAGCTGCAATCAGAGCCTTGGGGAGCAGGAAGGTGCCCCACGCCACAGGGTGAATCAGCTTTTCCAGGGGCATCCACATCACAGGCAGGAACCTGGCTGATGAGCGGGCAAGAAATTCTCTCCCTCAACTCCTTGCTCCAYGACGTGCACCAAGATTTCTCACTGGAACGGCACAGGAGTAGTTTAAGCTCTGAGTTTRAGTGCAGCCAAGTTTAAGCTTGGCTCCTCAGGGCTGCACCCCGCAGTTGCTCATGGGGCCAGGATGTGGGCTAATGTTTTTGTTCCCAGCTCCAGTGCTGGAGGGAACAAAAAACGATTATAAAACCAGCCCTAATCTCCATTGTTAACCCGAGCCTTTATTTCAGGGCCTTAACTTGGCAAAACAATGTTCCCCTGCGTCCTGTCGATAACCAGCTGAAAGCCACGCGGAGCCTCTCCTGTTTACAGAYGACGCCCTTGCCCAGGCCACGGCTGCAGCCAGGGCTGCTCAGTGCAGGGCACGGAGCCCCGGCTGCTCCGCGGCAGCCCCGGCACCAGAGCCGGGAGCAGGGCACAGCCAGGAGGGTAAAGCAGCAGCATTATTCAGCCCTAGGAGGGGGAGCTTCTCCTTTTTTTTTTCCAAGCAAACAATACAACTGGAGGGAATTGGAATGTTAATTGCTAGACTCTGCTTGGTATGCARCCCCCAACTCCTAGGGCTGCAGTCATACTTCCCAAATGTCAGAAGTCAYAAGCCTGATAGCAGCAAACAACTTGAGTGAGTTATGAAGGTCCTTCTCATGAGTAGCTGCTCATTGTCATCTTTCGGTGCCAGTCTCTGCCTTATCTGCATCAGGCCATTCATTTCACATAAAGTATTTAACCTTTTGCTTTGCTTTTTTTTCTCCCTGTGGCTTCAAGCATGAGGAATGTGTTAAAGAAAAGCATAAAGTGAAGAACTCTGGAGGTAGAAAATGAAACGGTACTCAAAAACCAATATCCTTTCCCTACAAACGAAACACAGAAAATATTACCATGCCATCTCTTGGGATTTTTATATTCATGCAGATGTAAATACTAAATTAAGTTGGAAACTTCTAATAAACATTTGCTCTTAAAAAAAAAGGACAAGGAAATCTGTTGTGAATGACAAAATGTTTCAGGGAAAAATTTCTTTAACATTAAAAAGATATTTAGACCCCAGTCCTTATTTATTTTAGAGCCTGGAACCTGGTGCATTAATATTTGGCAAAGGGATCCTCAAATGGAAGCATATAGCTGAGACCATTTAAATGTGCATTTCTTGTTCCAATGTTGTGTAACGTAGCTTTGGTATAACAGAGATTGAGGCCAGTGTCCGGTACATGAAAAACTCATTTAAATGAACTCAGTTAAATAAACCGGAGATATTGCTCCAAAGAAAGAGATTAAAAAAGAAAAATACTGCCAAGGGGTGTTGTACTCCTTTATTTCAACAAACGTATGGGARATGTTTCCAAATGTGAGTTGGTCCTATGTGGCCTTGACACAAGGAGAGCGAGAGCGTAGACACTGACCAGTCCCATGTCCTGGTCCTGAGTGCTCTTTGGGGCAAATGCTGAGGGAATACGAATCAATTACATCTCTCTAGGAGATTTCCAAAGTAAAGTCCAACATTCCCTACACCAAAATCCAGCCTGAGTGTTTTCCACCACCCAAAGCTGGTGGTACTCACCAATTGCTCTGTATCTGGCCTGGAATCCAAAGCCTGCCAGGTGGGAGTCGCTGTAGAAGTGGAGCAGCACGGGCCCAAACACGCTGACGGGGGCCGGCAGCTCGGCGCCGCACAGGGTGACGAGGGGGCGCGCGGTCCGGCGGCTCCCACGGAAAACGCTCAGGCCGTCATAGGGACAGACTCCGCCGAGGAGGGACGGGGCTGCATGGACACGCAACGCAGACATGTTAGCRGCATATCTGCAATGTGGTTTACTGAGCTTCAAGTTTACACTGACCTCATACAAAATACGAATTACGTTTCATAGAAGACATCAGATTGGCCTCACTCAACACATCCGGTGAGYTGGAAAAAGCTCCAGGCTCATGGTGCTCTCCAGAGATTGGAGCTGAGTGAGAACTACCTACGAGGAGATGCGCAACCTCCCAAAAGTATGGATCTTCCTCTGTAGATCAAGGCAGTTGCATTTATTGTGCAACCAACACAACCAATGTCATGGGTGCTTTCCTTTCCTGTGATGTAGAAGTCAGTACTCAGTGTGACAGATTTCATGCAATTTTAGAGTGAGAATTTTGGCAAGTGAGAAAATAGTCCGTATATAACATGCTTTGGAGCTCTCTTCTTTCTCTCTCCTCTGAAACTTCCAAAGTTTCCCTCAAGCTTTTGAGTAAYCAAATGCAGATTCCTCAGCTTGAATCGCAAGACAAAAATTGTAAATTTAATCTGTCAGTTTGCCAGGGAAACACTGCCACTGTGGCAGTTCATGGAGATCTCCTGGAGAAGACAGAACTATGGGAAAAGAAACTGATCTTCAGGAGTAACCAACTCTAGGGAACAAATCAGTACAAACAGAAGTGTGAGTGCAAAACTACCTGTTCAGAAGCACTAAAAACATGGAAATGGGGAATGCAACATCTCACTGCTTTTCTTTTCTCCACTGGCTTTTAACTTCTCATCCACAGTTAGGGTTCTGGAGGAGCGAGCCCTGCTCTCTACCTCCTGCCTTGCCACATTCCCTTCCTAGCCCCCTTACAATCCTCATCCAGATCCACTTGAGAGGAGACGGCTTAAGCTGTAGGTTTCCCAAGAGCCTGTGGCTGAGCTGATGCCTTGGAGGGATGTCCCCTTGAAGGGCCCGGGGCACTTCCAGTCCTGGGATGTCCCCTTGAAGGGCCCGGGRCACTTCCAGTCCYGGGATGCTCCCTTGCATGGCCCCTGGGCACTTCCAGTCCCAGGATGTCCCCCACGTGGGCGGGCGGTCATCCCACAGGGCTGCCAAGCTCCCACAGGGCTGGAGTGCAGYGCCGCTGCTGAGCATAGCCAACCCCACAGGGGCACCTGTGGGGCCTGGGGGACATGTGGGGAGCTTGGGAGCTTGGGAGTTAGCAGGGCCCAGGGAACATGCAAGGAGGCTGGGCCGGTGCTGTCAGCAAGGCCTGCAGCACACACATCAACAGGAAAAMCAGCTTCATTAGCTGTACCGCTCACAGAGGCCCCTGATAGGGTTTTGTGCCTTTACATCACTTAAGCATAAAGGAAGCGCCACATGTTCACAAAGTTTAGTTGTCCTGTTAGTGATCTATTACAGTGGAATAGTTGCTTAAACTGCAAAGGATTATTCAGCAAAGGATTATCCAAGTTTATCAGGAGACGCTGGGCCTGCCTTCACAGAGGAGTGATTTCTGCAGACTGGCCTGCCAAAACAGGCTGCTTCCAGGTGCTGCRGAAACCAGGATAACTCCTTTCAAACAGGACAGCAAATAGGAACCGAGTCGTAATTCACGGGAAGGACAGAGCGGCCCCAGCAGCAGCCACATCTGCCATCACTTGGGGAGTTTCAGTTTAGAAATTCCCTCTGCTCTCAGTGAAGACCAGATATCCCAACTGCTCTGCAAACAGGCTAATGGGAATCGGGCACTAGTGTGACGCTGATATGAGTCACTAAGATGAATGCAACCAGCTTCATCAGATAACCAATTAAATTCTTAATTATAAAATAGTTAATTTAAAATATTTTACATATCACGATCTACTGTGAAAATACTTCATCGTGTGCTAATGTGATAAAAGTAAAAGACATGATCAGTTTTAAAATCTGATCACAGAACTGGAGTAATGAAAYTACAGAATATTACAGAATATTTAAGGTTGGAAGGGACCTCTACAGATCATCTAGTCCAACCTTCCTGCTCAAGCAGGCACACCTACAGCATGTGGCACAGGRCGGCATCCAGGTGGGTTTTGAAGACCTCCGGAGTAGGAGACTCCAAAACCCCCCTGGGCAGCCTGTTCCACTGCTCTGTCACCCTAACAGTAAAGAAGTTSCTCCTCACCTGGAGACGGAATTTCTTGTGTTTCAGTTTGTGGCCATTACCCCTCGTCCTATCGCTGGCCACCAGTGAGAACAGCTTGTTCCCTTCCTCCCTGCATTCTCCCTTCCTGAACTTATACATATTAATCAGATCCCCTCTGAGCCTTCTCTTCTCCAGAGAAAACAGGCCCAGCTCACTCAGCCTCTCTTCATACGAGAGATGTTCCATTCCCTTAATCATCCTGGTTGCCCTTCTCTGGACCCTCTCCA